AATATTAACCAAAGTGGAGATGTCATTCAGAACCAAACGATTGTTAAGTGTACCATGACAATGGAGAAACTGAAGTGAGAAGTCTCCAGAAATCACCAAAGACTGAGAAATTGGCTGTGCCTGTGAATGCAAGTGTGTCAGGCTTTCTGAATGGATCAGGTGAAATGTATACACCAACCTTAGCGCTGATTTTACAGTGACTTCCTCATTCCTCTGGAGGGAGACAAGATCTTTTGACTGTAAAGCACTGTTTCCTGTAGAAGTAAGGCACCTGAAGTTCCTGCTCTGAACTTCTGCACTCAGTCCTGACAAACCAACCCACAGACCAAACCCAAGCTGCAATGTTCCCATGAGCTTCTGAGCCATCAGGACAGACAGACTGACTGGCCTCAGCCTGCGTTTGAGTAGTAAGTCTCTGATTGGCCTGAGATAACCCATGGCTCAACTGCCCACCCCTACTCCACTGCTTCCTTCCTTGCTCACCTCCTGACAAACCCAGCTGTTCTGCTGGCCGGATGCTGCTCCCGTTACGTGAGATGCTACCCATTCATAGATTTCAAAAAAAAACTCTATTAGATTATGTAACTAATGTGTTGAAATTCTGTCAGTCGGCAGTTAGAGCTCAAGGGATACTTGACTTAAGATGCTCAGCTTTCCAATGCACGTGTTTGCTGGCATGGAGCCAGCTATCCTGGAGCGCGCCTAAAGCAGACGCGTATACTCTGAGAAAAGGGAATCACTCAATTTGCCGTGCTGTGTTCAGGAAGCACACAGAATGCACCTTCCCGTGCATACATCACAATGCTATGAGAAGTTAAGGATAAAGCATAAGGTGAAAGAGAAATTCAAAGAACACTCTTAATGTAGATTTCCTTGCTTCTTTCGGAAACCCTGTAAGAGTATCGATCCAGTTAATGTCATTCATTCATTCATCCCAGGTAATAGGAGGGATTACCAACTACTTCTCCCTTGCTGTTCAATAGCAATACAGCAGGGAGACCCCCTAAATCAAATGGAGCCGAATGTCTGGACCGCAGCTCTCCTCAGCAGAGCAGCCTCCTGATCCATTGAGAGCAACAAGGCAGAGCCTGTGCCGGGCCAACCTCTTCCAAAGACCGGAGAACAGCACAAGCAGTGCAGTCCACTTGAACTTATCAGCTGGTTCCCACTGCAAGCGGCAACCAAGTTCCTTTCTTCAAAGATTACAAACACACAGGTCTTTTTTAAAGGAAACATTCTGGAGGGGAAAGTGGGGCTCCTTGTGCACCAATCCTGCACATTGTCAGGAAAAAGCTAGTAATATACAATTTATATGCTGTTCTAAGGCGTAACACTCCGTGTACAATTATCTACTTTCAGAATATCCTCATCATCCTCCAAACAAGCCGGCGCCCATTAGCAGATGCTCTTCGTGCTCCACCAGGCCCTCTAGGCACAAAGTTCTTCTCCATGGCTTTGCCTACTTTAGACAGGTCTTACATAGGGAGTCATACTTCCCCTGCCCACTTTAAGACTGGTTCTTTTCACCTATCATGTTTTCAAGGTCATCCCTGGCATAGTGTCTAATCTCATTGTTTTAATTAGCACACAAAGCAGTAATTACAGCATCTGCCCCACCTGCTGTAGCTCCTTGTTTTCACGTCGTATGGTCTGTTAACCACCCCCCTCCGCTCATGGTCCCCTTTCCAGTTTTATAGCTAGTAGCTACACTCAGACCCACATATATCATGTGTACGAAATTAATAGCTAAGGCCTGCATAGGAGAACAGTTCCTGAGCCTGGGTTACCTCACAATATTTTCTAAAGCCAACCCTTTCCCTGTACATGCATTTTTAATTACAGCTGAATAAAATTCAACTGTGTACCATATTTTCACTATCCACTCTGTGGGTGTGTCCAGTGTCTCTAGGCCGGTTCCATTGGCTTCTTATTGTAAATAGAGCAACAACAGACACTGGTGGTTCCTGTCGTAGGATAGAGTCCTTTGGGTATATGTCCAGGGTACACACACCTATCATGGCAGTTTTGTCTTTACTTCTTAAAGGGCCCTCTCTACAGGTCTCCATAATGGCTGTCTTACTCTCCACTCCTGCCAATGGTGAACAAGGGTTATTTCTTATTTCCCTACAACCTCACCAACACTTGTTGAAGTTTGTTTTCTTTATGACGGACCTTTGAACTAGAGTGAAGATCTCAAAGTAGTTTTATTTTGCATCTCTCTGATGGCTAAGGATGGTTTTTAAAGAACACTTTGAAATTTATTAGTATCTTATACATTTCATTCCTTTTTGTTGACAAATACAGTTGAACTGGGTAGGAACATATCTTGCTATCAGGTGACACTTGTATTGCTTCTGCTTTTTTATAGAAACAATTGTTTTCCATTCTCTTGTGTATAGCTAGGAAAATTCTTAGATCACATGCTAACTGTGTTTAATGTATTCAGGAAAAGCTTATCTTTTTCCTACAGCCAGTGCAAGAGCTTACAACCCCACCCACAATGTCTAAGGGTTCACCTCTCCACAGCCGGAGCAACAATGGTCCTCCTCCTTCTCCTTCTGATTCTTCTTCTTACTCTCTTCCTTTTCAATGCAGAATCAAACCCAAGGTGTCACATGTGTGAAGCAAGGACTGCTACTGAGCTACAAACAGCTACTGTCCAACTCTGACAAGTGCTGGTAAGGAAGTAGGTTCACTACAGATTCATTTACATTATTCTATAATGGCGTTGAATGTTTTTCCTTATGCTAATTGGACATTTAGAGACTAAGAGACTTTAGAGAAATGTTAAAATCTAAGAGTCCTGGGCCAGTGAGAGGGCTCGTCGAGTAAAGGCTCTTATTGTAGAAGCCTGACTCACGTAAAATGTGAAAGCGGGACTCACGTTATGTGAAAGCATAACACTAACTCTACAAGGTTGTCCTCTGACCTCTATGTATGTATGTATGTATGTATGTATGTATGTATGTATGTATATGTATATATGTCATGGCATGCATACCTACACACACATATACATCATGCACACATACAATACGTTTTAAAAAAGATATAGGAGTCTATTATATTCTCTGCATCTATGACATTGTTCAAAGTTTGCTGACATATTACACTAGCTTCTTATGCTACATTTTATTAATTTTCAAAGTGTATTCAGGTTCAGATACATATTTTTACTAAGTAAATAGAAATTTCACCATAAATCTGAAACTGCACATAAAAAAATTAAAGCCATGGTAGCTTTCTCAAATGACTCTAAGGAATAGGTGAAGAGACTGGATCCTGTCTAAATACTGACTTGAAATGTTGTATAAGGTAGTGTAGTTTGCCTAGTTACTAACACTAAGAAACTACTGGTAATTACATGGAAAAACAGAAGATGGTGATATTTAAAAATCCTTACACTGATGGAATTACCAGCTAAATAATTTGCTTTCTTGGAATTGTTTCAAAGTAAACAGATGTCCTAATCATAAGTGGCATGCATATAAGAGGGCCTATGAGCCAAGTATATTGAAATCAACTTGTTATATTATTTTTCTTTTCTGAAAAAATTTCATTAAAATTTTAAAAAAATACAACTGCAGAGAACAGCACAAGCAGCTTGGTTGTGTTTTCTCTGTAGTAGTGGGACTGAACTCAGGGCCTCACATGCTAGACAAGGACTGTCTGCAAGACTAAGCTTTGCCCCCATGCTACACTGCCCTTTAACCTGTAACCAGGGACCACTTTAGGCTGAAGCAACCTCATGTAGCTGCAGAGACAACTGAAACAGAATAAATCTTTAAGAATTTAACTAAAATCTCAGTTACCTCAAAAGTAAAAGAGCTGAAAAACTTACTGAAATGATAACTGCAGTACACCGTGTCATTTTAATGACCCTCACCAGTGAGAGACTAACGGCACTTACTTGGTCAGCCAGTGGTCAGCCACCAGCACCAGCCCTCACTGAGTTCATCTTCCAAAAAAGAAAACACTAGCTTCATGGAGGAGCACAGCCCAGACTAATTTTACTTCTTTTTACCAATTCTAGAGCCATTTCCCAGGTTATGAGAGTCACCTGGATGGTATATCCTGTAGGTAAGAATGTTAATCTGAAAAATATATCCCCCAGTATAGGCATGTGTTTGAAGGACTGACAAGGATGAGGAAAAACAGCCATCCTTGTGTGGTGTAGAACATTTCTAAATGGTACAGCCACAAATCCAATGTTAAAAATGTGAGAGACATGAAAATGGATCCACACAAAGACAAATAGAGGAACATCCATAGCATCATCACTTTTTTAAAAAGTAGACACATTAAGTGTCTGCCACAAATGAGTAAAAGGTGGAGGCTGGTCTGTTCCACAGTGGAAACATGCAGCAGTCTGACGAGCTATGCACATATATGGAACAGAGACAGCACACCACAAGGACAATGTAAAAGTCTACAAACTGCATGACTCTCCCTAAAAGGGAAAATGCTTGCAGACAGCAGATCAGCTGGGTTGCCTAGAAGGGACAGGAGCAGCTCAGGGGACATTTCCAGTCAGGTGAGGATGTCCTAAAACTTGAGTCTGGCTGAGACACTGTCCTGCTAATGACAGTTTTACAATACATAGATTATACTTTAAAGGAGCCATTTCTGATATTGGCAGCACTAAACTCAGCTTCTTGAATAGCAATGAAAACAAAAGCCTAGGAAGATTCTCTTAAAGTTCTGGCTGGCAATCTAGAGATTCAATGTGAATTCTAATCCCATAGGACACAATTCACATTTGCTTTGCATCTTTATATCCTGTTCACAGTGATGGTTACTGTCTGCTGAGCCACAGGTGGCCTAGGATCTCCCTACGCTGTTCATGATGACACAGTGTTTTAGGCATTTACTGAGGTGTTTCACTGTAAACCTATCCCCAGGCTCTATTGTTATTTACTTTTGGAAAATTTCTTGCTTCATATCACCCAATTTTTTCATTAGACAAAAAGTTTTCTCTGAGAATTTAATAACCCGAAACAAAAATTTAGTATTTATATTGAATATGCCTTTAAATGCAAACATAGTTTCTAGATGTATAACAGCGGTTCTTTTTCGTCTTCTATCTCTGTTCTTTTACACTTCAAACACTTGTTTCAAATCAAACTTGGTTTTCATTATTTCAGTTCAAAACTCTTCTATTTCCTTGAATTTGATGGATTCTTTCTTCCAGGAAGGGCTGGCTTTCCTTTTAGTCTCCATGTCTTTCCCTTGGCTGGCAGCTTTGTCAAGAGGTAAAGTCATGCTTTCTTCTCAGCCAGCTGATAACACATCTTAGGGACAGGGCGTGTAGCTCAGCTGGTCAGGCTTCAGGAGGCCCTGGGCTCCTTCTCTCCAGCACTATATACCAGACATGGGGGTTCATGCCTGTGATCCCAGCACTCAGGAGGAGAAGCAGGAGGGACGGGAGTTCAAGACTATCCTCAGTTATATACTGAGTTCAATGCCAGTCTTGGCTACATGAGATCACCTTAAAAGCAAAAACAAAACATTTAAAAAAACAAACATTAAAAACCAACCAAAGGAGCTGGAAGGATGGCTGGGAAGTTAAGAGCACTGGTTGCTCTTTCCTAGGACCTGAGTTCTAGTCCTGGAAGCCACATGATGGTTCACAATCATCCCCCTGCAATCTCATGGGATCCACCGCCCTCTTCTGGCCTCCTTGCAGACAACACAGACATACATGAAGGCAAAACACCTACACATGTAAAATAAAGGAGGGGGAAGAAAAACAACCCAAGCTGGGCATGTTACCACCTGCTTTTAATCCCAGCATTTGGGAAACTGAGAGGCAGAATTAAAAGTCTGAAGCAACACTGAGCTATAGCAGTGACCCATTTTCAATAAAAACCACAAAACCAAAACAAAGTTAAAAAATTCAGTCCTAATAAATTTCATACAAAGCATTTATAAAAGAGAAAAGCAGTAGCAGGTAGTGGAGCACACCTTTAATCCCAGCATGCAGGAGGCTGAGGCAGGTGGGTCTCTCTGAATTCGTGGCCAGCATGGTCTACACAGTCTGGAGAGCCTGTCTCAAATCAAAAACCCATGCTAACAAAACAAGCAAACAACAAAGCAACCCACCCACAAAAAGGAAAGTTTAAGTGTAAAGCTCTAAATTAAGACATTTTTATCTGATGGCTCAAACACCTTAAATTATAGCATACAAAGCAAGTGAAGAATGAACTACTTGCTGATCTTGGAACAGCACCACTGAAAAAAAATCAAACTGAAAGTAACTGACAGGCTCACTTGTGAATGAAGAGAAACTTTGTATACACTTAAACATATTTTTAAAAACCTCAGCATAAAAGAGTAGGGGATGCAGCTCAATAGTTGGTCCAAGGATTGCCTAAGACACACAATACCAGGGTTTGATCCCCAGCCCCAAATGAGCCAGGTGTGGTGGTACACACATGTAATTCCATCACTCAGGAGATGGTGGCCGGATGATCAGTTCAAGGACATCCTTGGCTACATAGTGATTTTGAGAACAGCCTGGAATACATGAGCCCCCATCTCAAAACAAAAACAAGGAAAGCAAAAGTGATTGACTACAAAGTAATTCTCTTTAAATCACCATAGATAAAACCATTACCTTGTAGGTGATTATAATATGACTGTGTTCTTTTCACCATAATTTACTTATTTACAAGATTTTTTTTTAATTAACCTGGAGCTGGAGAGATTAAAGCATGCTTGCCAGTTCTGTCAGTTCTCAGCAACCACACTTGCCGGCTCCCAAATGCCTGTAACTCCAGCTCCTGAAGTTTTGATGCCTTCTTTTGGCCTCAACAAGCATCTGCACTCATGTGTACAGTCCCCCACATAGTCACATAATTAAAAGTGAAGAAGAATCTTAAGAAAAACACTCAACCAAAGAGAAGTCAAAGACTGCATTAGCACCAATTACTGAGCCCAGGGCAAAGTTGTCAAAGAGCTGGTCGGCAGGAAATGACAGTTTCCAAACAGGTAATGCAGAAAATATGCCAAAAGTGTTCTGAGAAAACCATTTGTAACAGTTCTAAGCTTGTCTGTATCTGACTCCAGAGTGTGGTACAAATAAAGTAAATTAAGTTAACCAAATGAAATAAATGGAATCCAGAAATTAACTTCACTAAATTCCTAAGAAATAAAAATTATTGCTATTATTATAAAAATGGAAGCAATAAAGGGTTGAGAAATACACTCAAGTTTATAATCAATTAAATGGTGAGTCATAATTTGACCCTGTTCATCATCTGTTATATAAAAACCACAATTCAGGTATTAAGATATATGATAAATAGTTCACATTTAAAAACATTTATCATTACATTATCAAATTGGATAAACTCTTATCAAAACATCTCAGCATTCAATATAAATCATATTATTGAAAGTTTTAAGATAACAACAACAACAAAAAAAAAAACCCCTGGAGATGTCAGGTAAATGTTTCCTAATAAATACACAATTTAACCCTCACAGCCACATAAATTCTCACTAAAAACTGATTCAGTTTTACAAAGGCAGACTTTGTAAACAATTATAAATTTTCCCAACACCATTTTCCTTTTTTAATTCCAAAGTTATTCTATCAGGTCAACTTGCTCCTTTTGTATGTCAAAATTACAGGCTTCCAACAACCCAAACAGCAACATACCTAAATACCTAAGCAGGGTAAGCACAAAATGACTCAGATGTTTTTATCATCAAAGAAAAAATAAATAACTCTTCACTTAGATCTTTGAGAAAATAATAGTATACCTTGTTTAGGAATTGCTCAGGGAAGATATTACATAAAAGGCTTCTGATGTTTTCACTGAGTGAGCTTTCTTTCACTCACTAAAACTTTTAAAGTGTATGATGAAGGATGCACACTCACAATGCCACAGTATACAGCGAGCACAGTTCATAAATAAAGCATCTGGGTACAGTTGTAAACATTAATGTAGTAAACACTTGGCGTGTCTTCTTGTCCCCCAAATGTGCCATTACAATGCTCTTCCATGGATAATTACTCTTCCCTGAAAAGTCTTCAAGTATATTTTAGTTTTGTGAAAAAACTAAAACACTGAAATAATATGTGAAAAGATTTAGTCATGGCAATTTCACTGAAGCTTTTATTGCCTCTGTTGGTAATATGACAGGGATTGTAAAAGACACACTTGAACTTACAGAGATAGGCAGATGATATTCACTGAAGATAACCTTGGTCTCAAGTATTTTTATATGTGGGTACTTCTCATTTTATACATTTACTATTTAAAAAGCATTACATTTAAGAATGTACCTGTTCTGACATTTGGCAAAAAGTAAACTCTCCCTATGGGTGTCTCTGGAAAAAAAAAAAAAAAAAAAGACTCAGCATGGAGACCTGACCCAAACAAAGACTGAAACCCATGAACCAAAGCAATTACACTGACTGTGTGTGTGCGTGTGCCCTTTCTCTCTGGACTCACAGACGACCCTCCCCCAACAGTGTAAGCATTGTTAGTACACAACATTCCCTCTAACCAAACATTTGTCCTCACAATAAACACAATAAATCAGTTTTCTCTTTTGAGCCCTAGGAATAGTTTTGTTTAATTCTAAGATGCCACCACAGTGAACAACCTTAACTTTTTTTGCTACATAATTATATTAAAGCTTTATATATTTTTGCTTATAATTACACAGTAATTGTAAATGTTTAGTACCAAACTGATGACAAAGTTGAAAAGTCTTGCATTTAAAAATAAAATCTGTAAAACTCAAAGCATTAGGCCACAAATGAATATTAAGATTTTATAAAGAAAAATTTATGAGGTGGGGAGAGAAGCTAATGGGCCTTCATTTGAAAACAAATCATACTTGAATCAATCAATCTTAAAAAAAAACAATATCAAAACTCAAAATGTTCCACGTAGGGAATAAACAATATATGTCAGCAAAACTTTTAAAGATATACATATATGTATATATATCTTTAATCTTTCATAATTGAAGTTCTTCATATTTACAAAAATGAAATCAAGAAATACTGAAAACAGCAAGATTCTTTTTTCTTTTAATAACCAATTCCTGTAACGTGGATAAAAATTTAAGCTTTCTTTTGGTATTTGAAATGTATTCCTAAATTAAAGTTATGATTGGAATAGTGATATATCTATAAGGTAAGCTTTCTATGCAATTTCCAAATCATGTGACTAAAAAGCAGTTTTAATCATTTCCATATCAGCATAAAATGTTCTGGTCTCCCAAAGTACATTCCTTTGTGCCCCAAAGAGGACCTGGACACATGAAGCAAACTCTGTCCCTATAGAAGGCCAGTCATCCAACATCTAAGTTCATCATTTTTAACTTTCTCCTCGAAATATTTATGGACACACCCTTACACATGTCAGTATGTTAACAGAGAAACACGTATTTTCAGCAGGAGAGCAATTCATGGGTCCTGTCATGAAAAAACAAAATACAATCAAGACAGCATACTGCTTTGATGTGGAAATAGCAAATGCCAGTGAGAGATAAACAGTTAAAAGTCCAAATAATTTATAGAACAGAAGCCATTGGTATTCTGCACCAGCACTCTCTTGTTTGAAAAATCTCTGCTCTTGGAGTAAAGATTTGGCAACCACAGTGATTTAGCAGTAAAGCCATTTCAACACAATAAGAAGTCGTAAGGGCTGGAGTATTGCCTGAAAGAGCAGTGCCTATATGATAAATATTGAACTTCATGGCTCATCACAACCACTTCTAAAATGTAAATCCTACTATCTTCTTATAAATTAAGTGAACTGCATTGTGTTCCATAGTGCGATGACAAAAAATTTAAAAAAAAAACAACAAAAAAAACTAAACCCTCATGCCTAAATTTAGAATATTGTATTGTATAGCAATCCAAAACATTCAAAAACAAATGAAATAGTTTAACTTATTCGAAAGGCATAGAAGCATTTCAAAAGCATAATGAAATCCAATTATGTGGTGTGTGATGCAGACGAGAGTGGAATCTAACATTATGTCCCATTACAGTATTTTTTAAATAAGAGTTCCCTGCAGGACCACTGTGTATAAACATGGGTAAGACAACCACAGACTGTTTTGTAGAACCTTTGTGAGAGTCTGAAACACAAAACATATTTCAGGTAGTCACCAAGTTATCCTAATTTTTTTCATGTGTTGGTTATTTTGACATTTCTTTCATCAGCTATTCCACTCACGTCAACAGTACATGAGGTTTGCAGGAAAGTTAGATTCCCTCAAACCAAACACCATTCCAGATCCGGTCCACTCAGATAAATCACTCTCATTTGAGATGCTACCAGCATAGTCTTTGCAACTAGCCCGAAGCATATACTTAAGAAGTTTTTATAAATTGTTGTGGTGTTCATTATTATGTTTAATTCTTATGCCAAACTGTTTTCTGACGAAGACAGCATTGTGCTTTATGCAAGAATGGAAACCTCAAAATAATCACCATCAAGCTTCTATGACTTATGGGAAGACAAACTAAGATGGTCCACAGGTATAAGATGAAATCCACAATGTTGGAATTACAAATGTTTAGAGTAGCCCAGACTAGAAGACAAGCCCAAACTACCAGTAGAAGAATGGAGTACGATATGGTCCAAGATGTATCCTTAAAGTTTTGTCTCAACCCTCAGTTTGAACTGTGAGGATTGATCTTCAGTTCGGTCCAGCCAGCAGAAATTGACTGTGCATTTTTCCGTTGTATTTATTGTACAGACTATGTACATTCTAGAAGGTTCCTTTAGTGCTACACTGTTGTACTTTTTGTCCCAGAAATTTGAGGGCGTGCAAATTCCACAAAGTCATCAATAAGAACAGGCCATGCTCCTGAAAAAAAAGAAAAATATGGGAGGAAAGGAAATAAAGAAAAGCAGGATAAAAACTGGTATTTCAATAGAATCCTGGCTTTTTACAGCTTCCTCGTAAGAATTAAAATGTTACTCTTATTTATTTCTATTGATCAATCTTCAAGAGACTCCATATTTATGTCTTCTACTACTACAGTATTCCTGTCTTCTCTCTAACCTATTATTCTAAAATGGAGTTATTGCTTCATCAAAGAAAACACCTTTACTGGGCAATAAGTTAGTAATACGTAATGTGGTTTTCAGAAGGTTTTATTAAAGCCAGGCAGCCTATCTAATGATGTGACATGGAGTCCTACAACCTCCTCAGGAACACTTCTCACTTCTTAGTGAAGTGATGATAATGACAACACAAAGAAGAAAGAGACTATGGCTGACTAAGCCAAATGGTTCCAAAGTAAGGAGGTAAAACACAGGAGATTCTCCAAAGAATATTCTACATTCAACAATCTCAAAAATGCACAGTTGCTTCTCAGGAGGGACTATGTAACTTCGAAGAACTAACTGGAAATGCTGCTGGGGAGGGCATGCTGTTCACACAGATGGAAAAATGGCAAAGAGCATTTAATGGATAGTGGCTGAGTTCAACAAAGACCACCAGGCAGTTGAAGTCATTTCATATTACACAAATCTAGCATACTTTATGAGTTTACAGATGAGACTAACAAAAACAAAAAATAACCCCTCTGGATTCAAATGAATATAAAATACATTAAGAGAACATAACTCTTAAAGTAAATTGAACATGTAAGATATGGGTGAATATTTCTTATGCCTTTCTAAAGGACAAATACTGGTAAGATTTCCTTTCTTTAATTGTGCAGTGCTATGGAGAGGGCGCAGGCTCCACAAATGTTCTGCACTGACCTATGATTTCACCCCACCCTCCTTCATGGCAGTTGGTAAAGACTAGAAACTTGGATCTACTTCCGTGTTACAGCAGGTGTTTAGCAATAAAGCCTAGGTTCAGTCTCCAGCACATCCAAACACACACACACACACAGAGAGAGAGAGAGAGAGAGAGAGAGAGAGAGAGAGAGAGAGAGAGGGGAGAGAGAGAGAGGAGAGAGAGAGAGAAGAGAGAGAGAGAGAGAAGAGAGAGAGAGAGAATGAACAAAAGGAAGATCACTTCCATGGGAACAGTAGATGGAAGTTCAGGTATGGCAATTATTTTTGCTACCTTCTTCATCATAATTGGACATGTCATCTGCAATCATTGAACTGAAGTCTAACAGAAGATTCCATGTGTCTTTTGGTATTGATCGTTTATGATGCTCCTATTAAAACACCAAAAAAAAAAAAAAAACCAACAAGCCTTTACACCTTGGAAACAGTTGGGAAAAATTAGTTCAGCTATTGCTAAACATAGGAAAGTGTAACATTTGCATATTGAAATTCTGGTAATCAAATTTCTCATTTTATATCCATGATACAGTCTGAAATTAATGATGCCTTGAAATAAATTAATATTTAAGTACAGCATAAGTCTTAAGAGAAGACAAAAAATGTTAACTTACCAACAAAAATTTATTCCATAAGTCTAAGAATTTAAATCTTCCATTAAGCACTAAGTTCCAGTAAGCAATGGCCATTTCTAGATCTGTAATATTAAGAATAAGTTGTGGACTTTAATGCTTTGAATATATGTCCCTGCAAAAGAACAGTGAGTGAAACAAAGAAAGCCAATTGAATATCATAGATTAAACTTTTCTTAAAGACCCAAGTCCACATTTGTAACCTGCTTCTTTCCAATGAGCTCCCACAGCCTTTGGGGTAAGAACACCACCACTTACCTTCACAGGGAGTTGACACTGAAAGCAGATGTAGTCCTGAACTTTTCCACTGCCAAGTACTAATGCATGGAGGTCCTCAGGCTCAGCACAGAACCTTCCAACATTCTGAGCCAATAACTATTTGCTATAGGGGCTTGTGTATGCAACACGGGCCACTTAGCAATACCCAGGTAAACTTGCCACAGTTAAGAATCCTAGATGCACATCAACTGGTTGAAATGCAGAGGATTGCTCAATTCCCAATCCTAAAATCTTACACTCCAACAGTTGATGTCTAGCTTGTCCTAACTACAAGAGGCTGGGAAAATAATGTGGGTTATTTTGTTTGTGTGCTTTTCTTTTGGCTCAGTGCATCAGTTTTATAAAATTTATATGTACCATAGGGTTCATTCCCCAGAACCATGGAAAATTAAAATAATTTAAAAACTAGATGATAAAAATCTAAGATTTTTTTTTTAATTTGCCAAAGACATTAAAAAGTTTTCAGTTAGACATGGGTCAGAGAAAGCTAAAAAAGTAATCCTGTCAACACCCACTGTGACAAATTCTAGACCTGTTTTATGACAGTCAAGTTGGATCTTTTCAGGGAACTCAAGTAGTTGAAGCTGCCTAGTTTTCAAGACTGACGTGCCTCGGGTAAATCACACTACAGGTGCCTTAAAAATCCTGTCAAGCTGTGAAGTCAAAACCATGAGACAATCTGAGGGAGCCCCAAAGACAAATAAAGACTAAGATAGACAAATGCTGCTCATATTTTTAAAAATAAAAAGAAATCCAATCCTTATTCACTGACAAAAAACACAGATGATTTGTAGGAAATCACAAATGCTAGAGACCTGGAAGGATTGGTAGTGGTTTGAATGAAAATGGCTGCCGTGGCTCATATATTTGAATATTTGCTCCCCAGCTGGTGGAGAAGGATTAGGAGGTGTAGCCTTGGATAGAGGTGTGTCACTTCAGGTAGCTAGCCCATGCCAGTCCCAGTTAGCTCTCTCTCTCTCTGCCCTGTGCTTGTGGGTCAGATGTGAGTTCTCAGCTACTGCTCCAGCGCCTGCCTGCTGCAACTGCCGTGCTCCTCACTATGGTGGTCATAGAATCACCCTCTCAAACTGTAAGCCCAAGTTAAATGCTTTCTTCTGTAAGATACCTTTGTCATGGTGTTTCATTACAGCACTAGAAAAGTAACTAAGACAGGGTCCTTTAGTAATTAGAGAAATACAAATTAAAACAACTTAAATTTTTGACTTGCTGAACTCAGAAAAGCTAAGACTAGGAAAATAACCTGCAACAAATGCTGACAATACTTGGGAAAAGGAGAACCCTCATTCACTGTTTATAGGATTGTACCATAGAGAATTCTCAAAAAGCTAAAAGTAAGTCTACCATATGACCTACTCCTCAGCATACGCCCAAAGGACATGTGGTATCTGAATAGGAATGGTCTCCATAGGCTCATAGATTTGAATGCTTGATCATTAGAAAGTGGTGCTAACTTGACTAGGATTAGGAGGTGTGGCCTTGTTGAGGAAGTGTGTCCCTAGTGGTGGGCTTTAAGGTTTCAAATGCTCAAGCCAGGCCCATCTCTCTCCCTCCCTGCTGCCTGCTGATCCAGACGCAGAACCCTCAACTACCTCAACACCATGTCTGCCTGCATGCTGCCATGGTTCCTGCCGTAACTATACTGAACTAAACCTCTGAAACTGTAAGCCAGCCCCAATTTTTCCTTTATAAGAGTTGCTGTGGTCATGGTGTCTCTTCACAGCAATAGAACACTGACTGTCAGAATAAAGTCCATGAATGAAGCTGTGGAGGAGACTTCTGAGAGCTTGTGCAGTAGCTCTAAGGAAACAAGAAAAAAGTCTTTTAGCCTGTTTCTCCAAAACATGATTGGTCTTCAGATGTACTTTTGTGCCTCTCCCAGGTGTAGTAAATAGGAGTGGTTACTTTAGATTACCTGTCACCTACTATTACCATTCAGAATGCTGTTTCCAAGCACGGGTTGTCCTCACAGCTGTATACAGCCTAAACTTATGTGGTCTTGCCCTTTTGACTGTATAACACAGCTTGAAGTCAAGTGAACTTTGCTCATTTGACCTTGCTTAACCCTCAGAATACTGCCAGAATAGAAACTGTCTAATATTCTAATAAAGTTAGTTATTGCATGAGACTTCAGTCCACCTCATTTTTTAAGCTCTGCTTTCCCACATTCATGCTGCTAACTAGAGTGGTAACAATTGACTAAGAAAGAAGTTGGTACCAGGAATGGGGTTCTGCCATGACAGGTCTGACCATGTTGCTTGTTTGCAGAATGTGGACTCTGGGACTTTGAATTAGGAAAGCAGTTTAATGCTTTAAGTGGAGCTAACGGGCCACACTAATAAGAGCAGGGAAGACAGTGGCGCTGAGATCAATGTAGATAATGATGACCCAACTCAAGTTTTAGAGAAGACTATTAATAAGTACCCTAGAGATCATTCTTGTGATATCTTGAAGAATATGGCTGCTTTTTGCCGTTTTTTCAGAAAGTCTGCCTGAGGCTAAACTGAAGAGTTTTGGATTAAATGGCATTGCAGAGAAGATATCAAGGCAGTCTAATATTGACTCTGTCCTGTGGCTATTAGTGATTACATTTATGCAGATCTATAATGAAAAGGAGCAAGCTGAGCAAAGAAAAATAAAAAATATACAGATTGAGGAAAAAAAGAGCACCAAGAAGTGTAATTAAACTAAGCCCAGGGCTCAAAGAGAGAGAGAGTTTAAAGAAAGCCTGATCATAAATGGAATAAAGGGAGTGCTAACCTCAGGGAAAGACCCTACCCAGCTAAGGTTCCAACTTGTGAAAAGTAACTAAAGAAAAGCTTAGCCAGTGAAGGAAACCATTGAAAACAGAAAGCTGATGCAGATGTACTCCATAAATACTTGCTCAGCTATGTTCACTCTTGTTCTATTCACAATAGCTAGGAAATGGAAACAATGTAAATGTCCTTTGACTGATGAATGAATAATGAAAATTGCTACATATACACTATGAAAAGTTGTGAAGAAAAATTAAATTAAAAAATTTGCAAGTAAATGGATGGAACAAAAAAAAATTATTGAATGAAGTAATCCAGACCCAGAAAGGCAAACATCACATGTTCTCTCAAATTTGTAGTTTGTAGCTCTAAATCTTCATATGGGAGAATGTCATGTGGAGTAACTGCATAAACCAGGAAAGGAAAAGGGGACCATGAGTGAGAAAGAAGAATTAGAAAGGGGAAGAACAGGATACAAGTCATATGAAGGAGAAACATGGGGAAAGTTGAAATGGGGGGGTGAGAAAGTAAAGACAGGGAGGAAAGATAACACTAAAGATATTTGGAATAGTAATTTTAAGATGTTATATTGTTTTATATTTACTTAAAATTGCATATAATGTAGATAGGTCTATTGGACATGTATAGACATAGTTTAAGTGAAGTTATGCTTCTTGGGGTCCCAATGCCTATCTCCAAGAGGCAAAGACTAAAAACTTAAAGATTTAAAAGAAAACAGCACCAGGCCAGGCTTGAGAAACTTCCTTTTGAGTTGTTGATAGGGGAATCCAAGACTCCCAAACAATTGCCTTTGGTTGCCTCCAAAAGGTTAAAGGAAAGTTGCTGAGGACAATAATACTTTGGTAAAAGTCTTAGAAGATTTGAGCTGGATCTGACCTGAAAGCCTTCCCCCTGAGGCCTAGTTTCATAGTACCAGAAGATGATATGCACTCTGTATAAGGAGGAAAGCAATCAATCCTCCTACCCAGATGTGATGTCTATGAACCATAATGACCAGCCTGGCATGATATCCCTACCAATGCAATAATGGCATTCATATCTTGAGAGTAACCAACAGCAGTCTAAATGGACTTATGGCTCACCCAACATGAGGAAATCATGGCTAGTACTGTAAACTTAGCCAACCATCTGTGGCTAGTGAAGTCATGGAGCCTACAGGAGAAACTACTACTTCCACTTCTATGATTTGTATAATTTTTGTTTGTTTTTTGTTTTTCGAGACAGGGTTTCTCTGTGTAGCTTTTAGAGCCTATCCTGGCACTCGCTCTGGAGACCAGGCTGGCCTCGAACTCACAGAGATCTGCCTGCCTCTGCCTCCTGAATGCTGGGATTAAAGGTGTGCGCCACCAATGCTCGGCTGATTTGTATAATTCTTAACTGCATTCTAAATACTTACCATTATACCCAAAGACACACACACACACACACAAAAAAAAAAAAAAAAAAAATCAAAATAAGCTTCATTTTGTATCAGACAGAGAGACCATTATAGTCACAACTGGTCAAAATGTAGACAGCAAATGATGTGGGGTGCCCCAACTGATATAAGTCTTAGGGAGCATTGTGGAAGAGGAGGTGGGAAGATTACAGGAGCAAGAAGACCAGGAAGTCTGTGTCTTTTAGAACATGCAGGGTTTTGTTTCTCAGGTTGTGTGACTTTGCTTAATATTATTCATTCTAACTCCATAATTTTTCTGTACATTTTATGATTACAATTTTCTTTGGTTTTATATAATTTTTTTTTTACATTTTTCTTTAGATTGAATAGTCTCACCCACTCACCCCATCTCTTTTGCACTCTTTCATTTGCTGATGGACAGCTAGGTTGATTGCAATTCTTTGTTATAGTGTAAGATTAGAAGTTAGGACCCACAAACAAGAGAGCATGCATTAGTCTTTCTGGGTCTGGGTTACTTCACTAAGTATAATTTTCTCTCTCTTTTTTTTATTTTGTTTTGTTTTGTTTCTTAGGACAGGGATCTCTGTTTAGC